CATACGGGCAGCATGAAATGATTCGTTACTGCCCACACACAAACACACCACCAAAAAGCTGTCGGTCAAATTTCTTTTAAGAGAAGTACTACTGGTCACTGCTCCGCTGTCGCCTCGCCGGCTCAATGAGGAAAGACGGAGCAGCGCCGCCGCCCGCCGCCCTCAACCCCGTCGGAAAGCTCTTCCTCTGCTTCGAGACCAAGTCATTCCTCGCCCTCCTTCTCTCCCTCACCCTCGTCGCCGTCGTCTGGAACCTCCAGCCTTACTACCAGAACATTTTCCTCTCCACCACTGCCGCAGCCGCCCCCTGCACCTCCGCCGAATCGCTTCCCCTCAGATCCGCCGCCGCGGAGAATAAGCTCGTCTCCTCCGGCGACCCCAACCGACGCACCTTCCAGGCCCACGGCAGCGCCGCGGCGCTCTTCGTCCAGATGGGCGCCTACCGCGGCGGGCCGCGGACGTTCGCGGTGGTGGGCCTGGCCTCGAAGCCCACCCACGTTTTCGGCCGCCCCTGGTACAAGTGCGAGTGGGTCCCCGCCGGCGGCGGCCCCGCCGTCCGGACGAAGGCCTACAAGATGCTTCCCGACTGGGGCTACGGCCGCGTGTACACCGTCGTCGTCGTGAACTGCACCTTCCCGGAGAACCCCAACGGCGACAACGCCGGCGGCCGGCTGATGATCAACGCCTACTACGGGGAGTCCCCCCGCCGGTTCGAGCGGTTCGCCGCCCTAGAAGAGACGCCGGGGTCGTACAACGAGTCTGCGTTCCGGCCGCCGCGCCGGTACGAGTACCTCTACTGCGGGTCGTCACTTTACGGGGACCTGAACCCAGCCCGTATCCGTGAGTGGGTGGCGTACCACGCGTGGTTCTTCGGGCCGAGCTCCCACTTTGTGTTCCACGACGCGGGCGGCGTGTCGGCTGAGGTGCGGGCGGTGCTGGAGCCGTGGGTGAGGGCGGGTCGGGTGACATTGCAGGACATTCGGGCTCAAGCGGAGTACGACGGGTACTATTACAACCAGTTTTTGGTGGTGAACGACTGCCTCCACAGATACCGCCACGCGGCAAACTGGACATTCTATTTCGACGTGGACGAGTATCTGTACCTTCCAGACGGGAACACGCTCCAGTCGGTGCTCTCCGAATTCTCCAACTACACGCAGTTCACCATTGAGCAGAATGCCATGTCCAGCCTCCTCTGTCTCAATCACTCTTCTCATGATTATTCCAGGTAAATTAAATTAAATTAAATTCTCATCCCAATTAATGAATCCTTTTTTCCAATAGTTTGTTCATTTGAGATTTCATTTGGTGACATTTGAAGTTACATACATAATCGAGTCACTTGAATATAGTGAAAACGAAACACATGTATTGACAATAGTAAGAAACGGGGGCAAAACGGGTGTGGTTACTCTGTATTGACAATTGAAGAAATGGGGGCAAAACGGGTGGGATTGTAAGAAACGAGAGCAAAACGGGTGCGATCCCACGCGGATGAAGCGCACCATATGCAGGGAGAGCCTAGACAAAGCCCTTCCATCCTGAAACTAATTGGTGGTAGAACAAGTAGCCTACTAGGTTTATAATTTAGGTCTGTTTTCTATGAATAAACACGATGTGGGACAACTCACAAATTCACAAATGATATTCTAACATCAAAATTGTAATTGGTTGGTTTAGCTTTGGCCATGTAGTGTGGTCATTGTAACTGAACTGGACTTCACTGTCATTTGCCAAAAAAGAATTAAATGCTGCCACCAACAGCATTTATTCCCGCAAATTTTCGGGCAACATGTCTAATCACAAGGCAGATTTCATATGTGTTTACATTGGTGTAGATTTATATGTGCGTGAACAAATTTATTACACATTGTGGTCATAAATGAACTGAAATATTCTTGAAAACAAAAAATTGGAGCAGGCAATGGGGATTCGAGAAGCTACTGTTCAGGGACTCGCGGACACGAATAAGACGGGACCGCAAGTACGCGATACAGGCGAGCAATGCTTACGCGACAGGCGTCCACATGTCGGAGAACGTGGCGGGTGGGACCCTCCACAAGACGGAGACTAAGATCCGGTACTATCACTATCACAACTCCATAACCGTCTCCGGGGAGCTCTGCCGCCACTTGCTGCCGCCTTCCGCCGCCAACGCCACCACGTGGGTCGACAAGGTTCCTTACATTTACGATGACACCATGAAGAGGCTTGCGCCCGTCATCAAGAAGTTCGAACAGGACACAATTGGAGTTGGTTCACAATGACAATTTATTTAGAGAAGAACAAAAAAGAGAGGAGTATGTAAGTTTTATTTTATTTATTTTTGGCACACACATGTATGACAAGTAAATTTTTTCTTTATTTTTTTTTTTAATTTTTTTGTGTATTTTTGTTTTATTTGGTAGTCCCTTTGTTTGTTACTATTTTTCTTTTTTTCGATGTATAAAAAATATGGAGAATTTTTTTATCTTTTCTTAAATTAATCGTTTATATTTTCTCTTTTCGCAATAAAAATAAAAAGTGAGAGATTCCGAAGGAAAAGAAAGAAAGAAAAAAAAAAGCTGTGTTTGTTTACATTCGCCCACCGACAGAATGATTGATAATCAATCGAATTGGGCCATTAAATTCATTTGGGGGCCATTTCGAATTTGGGCCTCTTGCCAGTTTGCAGCGACACGTGGCCGGCATATTCATGATTTTTTGTCAAGGCGCATTTATTTATTTATATTTAGCCTTACAAATTTAATTATTAATCAACAATAGTGTTACAAATTACAATGTCCAATTCATTATCGGATAAATTAAACAAAGTACAACTGCTTTGCCTTCTTTAATTTTATTTTATATTTGAAGATGATTAATTATAGATAAATTAAATTAATGTGGTGATGGCTGGTGTGTGCCTTAATCATTGATGCTGTTACAGTATTATTCAAACTTTTTATGTATAATTAAATAAATTTTAAATAAAGTTGAATATAAATGAGAGTAGGTAGATATATAGATGCTGTCGAGACACGTGTGTACGATAAGGCAGTTTTCGGTGAATTATATTATATCTAATTATATTATACACACGTGTGTATCGATCTCTCGTTTCATTTCTCTCCAAATTGTGTGCTTATGGTTCGATCTGAGTTCATTATGGTATCAGTAGCTGGCTGATCCTCGTCCTTTTTTATTTCTGTTTTTCGATATATTTCCTTTGCACCGTTCTTTTTCTCGATTCGAATATCTGATTCGTTTTTTTTTCTATTTTTTGAAACCCTAGATCTATTCGATTTTGATCGATCTGTTCTTCGATTTGTTCGATCTACTTGATTTCGTGTGACAATCATTGTTTTGCTTGAGTTTTGCGATGATGACCGTTGTATATCCGTCCGATGATCCAACGTACCCCTTCTTTCTACACCCGAGCGACAATTCGGGAGCCCTAATTGTTGCAGAAGTGTTCAACAGGGATAACTACATCTCATGGTCCCGTGCTGTTCTTATGGCGCTTAACGTCAAAAACAAAATCGAGTTCGTTGATGGCTCAATCAATCCACCACCGATGTCTGGTAATCCTATTACATACATGTCCTGGTTGCGTGCCAATTGTAATGCCCCGTTTATTTGTGAAATATTTGGGTTTATTTGTTTATTTATTTATTTCATTATTATTATTACTATTATTATTATTATTATTATTATTATTATTATTATTATTATTATTATTATTATTATTATTATTATGTGTATTATATTTAATTACAATGTGTTTAATTGCGTATTAGTAATAATAAATTGTGTATTATGTGTATATATATATATAATCTTCCGGTTTATTCTAATTATCGAGCCCGAGAGCCGAATCATTATCTCGAACCCATGCGTGAACCTGCCCGAAGTATTAGACCCGCGACTGGTTTTTGAACCCGACCCGCTCTTTTGGGCTTGGACGAGAAGAAATAAAAAGCCCTACCCTAATGCTTTGTATTTAAATAAAGAACTCCTCCCCTCAACTCAATTAATTGCGCAGCCTTTCTTTTTATTTCTCTCGGCTTTACTTCTCGCGAGCAGAAGGCAGGAAATCTACTCCTTCATCATCTCGATCGCTCCATCGTTTCCTTCTCCCTCCATCCTCCATCATCGCCATAGTCATCAGGCCATCGTCACCGTCACAAGCCCTCGCTGGCCATCACCACGCCGTCACCACCAGGCCTTCACCATCATCGTGTCATCACCATCATCGCAAGACCACCATAGCCGCTGTTCCTCCACGCGTTCAGCACCTCCGGCGAGCTTGACCAGCGACGGCGGCCGTAAGTCGCCAGCCACCACCAACAGACCTCCACCAATCTCTCTCATTCTCGTGTTGTGCGTACCGTCGATGTCTTCCCATCGCGAGAGGCCCGTGTTGGAAAAAATTCCCGTGATCAGTCCAGTGTGACCCCGTGACCAGTAACTTCTGGCGAGTTCATTCTCCGTCACGCAGCAACCTCCAACACGCTCAGGCCACCCCTATTGTCGTTGTGAACCAATTCCAGCGAGAACTCCATGTTTGTTTTCCCCTGCTCGCGAGTTTCGAGCTTGATCGCCGGCAAACCCGGACCACCATTTTCGGCGACGTGGGATTGCCCCTACTCGCTGTCTTCTGGCTGTTGCCCATCGTTGACAGGTCCCGGTTCATTGCTGCTGTTCGTAGTTTGTTCAACTGCCACTGTTCATCACCTTTGTGGCTGTCCCGAGACTTGTGTCCCGTCGGCTTCGGCTCGTTCTTAATCGTATGATAATCCCAAAAAGGGTACCGAGACTCGTTTTCCCTCTCGTTTGTTCATGTGTTGTATTTTGTGTTTTAAATGCTTAAGAAGATTCATATATAATTTATATATATGGAGTTTTGGTGATTGAGTGATATGGTGACATATGATATATGCTTAGTTGCTGAATTTGGAGGCTTTCACATGTATATGTGGGAATTATGAGTTTATTATGTGCCTTGCGTGTTTTTATCGAGTCGTATTATGAATTTATATGCGTTTTGGATATCAAAGTGATTGCCGTCACTTTGGTTGTTATCGAACTGAGTTTTGAGTGATATTTTTCGTGGAAATCCTGGAGTTATAGGTACTTAGAGTTGTCCTTGAGTTATTGGTTTTTGTTTGAGGTCGTTTCGATGTGTATATGTCGAATTATGAATTTTCTAAACGATGTGTATATGTCGAATTATGAATTTTCTAAACCGAGCATGCTGCTGAATCATAATTAATTCATGATAAATCGTGTGATTGTCCGCCTGCCATGAAATTTTATATGTGATGTCCTGTGATGATTTTGTGGGTCGTGTAAAATTTTTAAGTCGAAACTCCATTAGCTATTTTAATTAATTAAATCCGTTTCTGGTCTGAATTTTGTAAAATTCATTAAAAATCGTACACTTAGAGTTTTGAGCTGAAATTTTGAGGAGTATGTTATTTTGTGGTATTCTGTGTTGTGTCAAAAGTTTGGATTAAAATTCGTAGTGTAGCTATATGAACTATTAATGTCTGGTTTTTACACTGTTTTTGCTTAAATTATTTAAAAATTCTCCCGGATGAATTTAGGGCTGAAACTTGGTGAGATTATATGTTTTTGTATGCCTTGTGATGTGGTAAAGTTTCAGGTTGATTGGTTGAGTCTAACTCCAGATTCTGAATTTTATTTATTTTGGAGTCTTAATGCTCGGTTATCCGTTGTCTAGGTTCGGGTTGAATTTTATTGATGATGGCATGATTTATGTGTGTTATTTGAGGTATTTGAGTTTTGTTCAGGTCTAGTAGTCACTCAAGTACTTAACTCGGTCAAGGAATCCACGAGTCACTTAGTCGATATGATTTCGGCTAAATATATGTGCTTTGCGCATTGTCTTGTATTGGACAGTCAATTGATAGGCTATTATAATTGTTTTAGGTTCATCGAGCTGAACTTTTTCCATTATTCCTTCAACCCTGTGTTTGGCTATATCTCGGTATCCAGGTGGGTCTTATTTAAATTGCTATACCGTAAATAATTTATTTGTTGTTGGGTTGGTATGATCACTGCTTGCATGTGAATTGTGTAACCTTCGTTGTGAGCTGTATGTCCTTCGAACGGTTGTCCCCGTCGTTGAGAGCTGTATGTCCTTCGACGGTGCCCTTGTGTGGCAATCTCCTTAAGTCCTAATGATAGGCCATACTGTTGAGAGCTGTATGTCCTTCAGTATGCACTCCCATTGTTGACAGTTGTATGTCCTTCAATGGCTAATGACACATGTGCACATGAGTGAGGTTATTGGTGTATTGATTGGAGATGTGACATGATGAATTAATTTATGATCATGCTGTGACCATACCCTTGCTATATTATGTTGTTATTTACGTGCATAGTGGTGAGCACAACAGTTCATCATGCTCACTCCCACCTGCTCTTCATTGATGCAGATTAAGTAGGTGCCGGCTGACGAGACAGAGACGAGTGGTGTTGGTCTTTGACTGACTTCATTTAGTTTATTCCGCATGCTAGTAGACTTGGATTTATTTATGCTTATTTATGACTTTGGAACTTTGAATTGGGAGATGTTCCCTTATGAACAATTTAGATGAAACTGTGATTTATGAAAACAATGAATTTATGATTTATGAATTATGCAAGTGTGATTTATGTTATTATGTGATTTAGTTCGAGTAGCGCCACTGATTTATGTAAAGATTTAAAAAAAAAATTAAGTTGACTTTTTGAAAAGCCTTTGACTTTCGTAAAGTAAAAGTGGGGCGTTACACCAATAATATGGTTTTATCATGGCTTCTCAACTCTATCTGTTAGGATATCAGACAATCGCTATTGTTTTTTACTACTGCCAAAGATGTATGGGTGGAATTACAACTAGATATGTCGTAAGTAGTGGTCCTAGGATTTTTCATCTTAAAAAAATCCCTAAGCACCATTACTCAAGGCTCAAATTGGGTCACTTAATAATATAATACCTTTAAATATCTATGGGATGAGTATACTACTTATAGACCGGTTCTCAAATGTAACTGTGGTGCATTTACCTCCTGCACATGTAATATTTTTTATGCTATGTCTATCTCTCAGCACAATGATTGTGTGATGAAATTTCTGGTTGGTTTACATGGCTCCTATTCATCTCTTAGGAGTCATTTCCTTTTATCCACACTCCAGCCACGTTTATACAAAGTATATTCTCTACTCCTACAAGAAGAAACACAGAGATCACTCCATAACACCCCTCAGTATCTTGATC